CTTCTGGACGGCTGCTCATTGCGGCTGCTGGCCGCTGGCCCATGGCAACCCACTGCAGCAGTGGCTGCTCAGCTCAGGCTGGACTTGAACCACTGTTGCTCAGAGCTCAAACTCTTGAGCGAGCTCTTAACCAACTGAGCCACTCGGCCGGCCCCCTTGTATTCTTTTTTAATAAAATTAAAAATAATGACTTGCACCTGAGGACTTTATTTGACTTGACATAAATCTTTATTCTTGTTGGCCACTCTAGCTTTTGCTTTAACCTATAGAAGGGGAAAATTAAAAGGGCATCATGAAGAAGTAATATAATAATATTAGTAGACCCAGATTTGTATACAAAAAAATAAAAAATTCACAGTATGGCTTTTCTAATGATAATGTCTTTTTTTTTAAGATTTTATTGGGGAATTGGGGGAGGGGAACAGACAAGTTGCTGTCCATTTTGTTCTTCAGTCAAGTTGTGGAGGACGTCGCTTCACTGGCCCATGTTGGTATTATGATCATTGCACTCTTCCCGGCTGAGGCAGTTGGTCTCCGGCCATTGGATGATGGCTCATGGCAGCTCTCACCGGCTGCCGGCTGCTCACGGTAGCTCACGGCAGCCTACTGCAGCCTACATCCTCGCCAGCCACTCAGTGCAACCCAGCTTCAGGTCGAGCTGTTGTTCACCATCTTAGCTGTAGAGGGTGCAGCGTCACTGGCCCATGTGGGATATGAACCGGCAGCCCTGCTGCTCAGAACTCCCGCTCCCAAGACAGCTCTTAACCAGTTGAGCCACTAGGCCGGTTCCAATAATATCATTTTCTAATGTATTCAGTGGCTTCACTACTTAACATGACTACACAATAAATAATAGTATAGAAATAGTTAAAAATTACACTAGTCAGACTGAACCCACTAAATATACAGTATTTTTTCTCACTGCCAGTGTTTAAAGATATTTTGACAAACATGAATTTGCTTTGAAGCTACTTTAAAATAAATTTATTCATTTTTTTACAGTAAAGTTAGGGAACAATCCATGTGATCAGCAACAGGAGCTATTCAGTTCTCCTTTGACTCCTCCCTTTAGGCTCTTATTTCCTAGCCTGACGTCATCACTAAGAGAAAAGAAAAACTCCTCTACTTCTATAAGGAGATAAATTATTGTATACCTTAAAAACTTGACAGGACTCTGTACTTACACAATAGCAAAGCCTACCCTATAAGACAATTCTAGGAAGGAAAAGGAGTTAAATTGAATTTAGTCAATTTCTGTTTAAATTTGAATTTAGTTTACTGGTTTAAAGGTACTTTCTGCATTACATTTTTTATTGGATATATAAATGGTTGATAGTCTAATATAGGGAAATTTTCTGAGATCTTCCAAATATTTATAGGTTCACCCTATTTTCTAATACCTAAATCTATGACTGTTGAATGATAATGATACACAGTACTGTGAAATTCTGCAGAACTTTCAGGATTGTTTAAAAAAATGGAAGTGGGCGGCCAGATGGCTCAGTGGTTAGAGTGTATGCTCTTTTTTTAAAAAGATTTTATTGGGGTATTTGGGGAAGGGAACAGTGTTGGGGAATTGGAGACGGGGAACAACCAAGCTGTTGTCCTTGTGTTCTTCAGTCTAGTTGTGGAAGACGCCGCTTTACTGGCCCATGTTGGTATTATGATCATTGTGCTCTTCCCGGCTGAGGCAGTCGGTCGCCAGCCATTGGACGGCCGCTTTTGGCAGCTCACGGCAGCCCACTGCAGCCTACGCCGTTGCCGGCTACTCAGGCAGCCCAGCTCCAGGTCGAGCTGTTGTTCACAATCTTAGCTGTAGAGGGTGCAGCTTACTGGCGCATGTGGGAATCGAACTGGCAGCCCTGTTCAGAGCTTGCGCTCCTACCAACTGAGCCGCTCCACTGGCCCTAGAGCATACGCTTTTAGCAAGGTTGCCAGTTTGTCCCCTCATCCCCCCTCCCGCAACTTGAGGTAAGCCGCCTTGAGCTGCCGACAGGTGGCCGGATGGCGGCTAGACTTGGAACTGAGCTAGCTGCACCCTCCACAACTAAGATTTAAGGACAACAACTTGGCTGTTCCCCTTCCCCAACTCCCCAACACTGTTGCCCTCACCCAATTCCCCAATAAAATCTTAAAAAATAAAATAAAAAATGAAGTATAGTTTTACCAATGTATTTTGTTATATTTTGATTTAAAATTATGCATGTGATGCTCTCAGGTAACTAAAATAATAAGCAAATTTATTACATAACACTTTGTTCCCCAATCATTCTAGAAAAGAGTTTATTTTGGGATATTTTGAAAATAGCATTATCTTAGGAGAAGAGCTCATTGATTTATCAATAGGATTCTGAAAGCACAAGCACAGATTATAGGCGGAACCTATATTGTGGGTTTTTTTTATAGGAAAGACAGTTTTGCAAGGATTGCTAAAATAATTATGAAAAAAGTTATCTTTGGTACTAATAATCTTTGTGTGACTTTTGCCTTAGTGTAATAAAAGTTAATCGTTTGGGATATAGACAGAATAATTTGATACACATTGCAATAACTTTTCAATGTTTTAAGGACCAGCTATAGAACTGCGCCAAAGAAAAAAGCCAAAGTCTTTCGAAAATAAAGAATCTGCCATAGAAGAGAAAATTGATGACACTGCAGTTCCTGAAAGAGCCCCAAAATGTAAGTTAGGTAGATTTGGAATTTTTCTGTTACTACAAAAATAGTTATGGTAGGTAGTATATTTTATATTAATGTTTTAAATGTATAAACATTTTGTGATTAAGATATGGTGATATCAGCCAGCTTTCATTATGTTTTGCTGTAGAACAATGCCTAAATATCACTCATTTACAACAAACATTTATTTCTGATTAAAATTACATGTGTGGCCTGATGTCGCTTTATGTGTCACAAAGGAATAGCCCCTATTTGGGACATGTTTTTCTTGTGGCAGAGAAAAAGAACAGGCAGGCAGGCAGAGTCATGCAGTGCCTCTTAAAGTTTCTGCTGAACCAGTAAACTTGTACTCCTATTTTATTGGCCCAAGCAAGTCATATAATTAATCTAGACAATGAGATGGAGAAGTATACTCTGACGACGGGGAAAGCATTGCAAGTGACATGGTAGTGGGCAGGGATAGATAATCTTTTTATAGGAAATGACAAAATAGTTAGGAATAATAATAACAGTCTACCCTATTCTGTCTTTGGTCATAAATATTTTCTCCCACAGAGAAAATATATTTGTTACTTCCCCTACACCAGCGGTTCTCAACCTTTCACAGGGGTCACCTAAGATCATCGGAAAACATATTTTCGATGGTCTTAGGAACTGAGACACCACTCCTTTATCCGTCTCCAGGTCCACATGCAGATATGCCCACATACAAGTACCCGGCGACCCCTGTGAAAGGGTCATTCAACCCCCAAAGGGATCGCGACCCACAGGTTGAGAACCACTGCCCTACACCAAGGAAGAAACTCAAGTCTTATCTAGTCATGGCATGAGTTTTGAAGCCCAACGTCTTATTATCTATATCTGGGTCAGCTATGTCTCTCGTTCTGATCCAGAGACCCATAAAGTAAAAGACAAGTTATCTGCTCTGTGTCAGGGTCTCCAAGACCACCTCTATGTTCTGAAATTAGCTAGGAGGACTCACAGGTATCAGAATATAGTCATGTATTCACAGCTGTGATTTATTATCACAGCTATGATTTATTACAGTGAACAATACAAAACAAATTTAGCAAAGGCTTATTGGCTGAAGTCTGCAAGAAACTAGGCACAAGCTTTCAGGATTCCTCTTCAAATGGAATCACACAGGTTTCTTTTAGCATCAAGTTGTGATATTTGTAGTTTTGTCTACCAGGGAAGCTCATAAGCCACTCTGCTCGTGGTTTTTTTTTTTTTTTGGCAGCTGATCATGTAACCTCTGCCTATCACATACAAAATTCTAGACTCCCAGGAGGGAAGTAGTAGCATGAACCACATTTTACAAACAAGTTAGGCAAAGTAAACCATTTTTATCAGTTAAAAAATGGTGGGAACCCTATTGAAATCCAAGTTCCCAAGTGTCAGCCAATAGCCTACCTTGCAAGCAGGACTTTCTTGGCAAAGTAGTTGCTATGTTTGTTCTTTTCTGCACACGCCCCCTTTCACATTATACATTGTTGGACAGGGACAGGATAGCCAAAAGCTTTCATTCAGAAAGGTGAAGAGTGAGAAACATAGCTTAGCCACTGGTCCATAGCAATTCTGAAATCCTAGTAGGTAAATATGAGGTCGCCTTACCCTGGAGTAGGGATTGTTTCTTGATTAGGCCCCAATTGTTTTCCTTGGGAGTAGCTTCCCAGTTCATTGTTCTCTGTGGTCCTTGGCTCCACCCTCTGTAGATCCTTCCTTTTCCATTATCCTTCTGAACTATATCTGAAGATGACTTTGGAGAATAGGCCATCCTTAGGAGCTAAACAGCCTTCTCAAATTGCTTCCTGCCCATACAGAATTAAGGGCCCATTTATATATATTTGCTCAAATAAGATAATGGCAATAGGTCATCTACAGATCTAATTCAGGGTCTGGCAGCAAGAAAACTTTGGAAGTTGGAAAAATAATCCATATTATGCAGTGACAAATTATTTTATAAAATTTTCCTGTGGGGTGACCAGTTAGCTCAGTTGGTTAGAGCGTGGTGCTGATAACATGAAGGTTGCCAGTTCAATCCCCGCATGGGCCACGGTGAGCTGCACCTTCCCTAAAAGAGTCAACTATGCCATTGTAGCATGAAAGCAACTTTCCTGTGAATAGTTGCAATTTTAATACTAATTTTTTATTATTTTAGGTAACAAGATTGCAAAACAGAATGATACTAGAGTGCCTTGGTTATCAGCTGCATTTAATTACAGAAAAGAGATGAATTTAGAACAGAATTGGACTATTTGCAAGCAGGAATGAGAAGGAAAATAGAGAATCCAAAATTTCTAGGACTTGTAGTGTTGGAGTTAGAACTCTGTCTTTTTCAACTAGTAAAAAATAAAATTGATTAATACTTTGAGTAACAAAAGTTGATTAAGATGACTAAATCAAGGGCATGGCCGTCACTTAATAAAGTGTATAAATGGATATAGGTAGTTCCTAGTAAGTTCTTTCAGTTGGACAAAGCACTCAGGGCAAAAGATCAAAGAGTGTGGTCCCACAAAAGCTTGATAAGCTCGAAATACATGTAATTAAATCTTTGAGGGAGGCATATCTAGAAAAAAAAATTATTGGACTATGAAGCTGACTGGAATCACATAAGTAAAAAGCCAACAAAATTGTTCTTTTCTTTGCAAAGATCAGTGATTTAATTTTTAAAATTAAGGAATAATTAATATACAATAAAATGACAGCATCTTAGGTGCTAAATGAGTTTTGACACTTGAATACAGCTAAAACGAAATATAGAACATTTCCATTATCCCAGCAGTTTCCTTTGTATGTCTTTTCAGTAGATTTCCTCTGTATCCCCCAAGACAACCACTCTTCTAATATTTTCCAATATTGATTAACTTTGCATGTGTAGAATTTCATATAAATGGAATCATACAACATGTATGCCTTTGTGTCTGGATTCTTTCACTTAGCTCATTATGTTATTCTATATAATGATTTTGAGATTCATTCATGTTGCTGTAATTGTTTATCCCTTCTTGGACATTTGAGTAGTTTTCAGTATTTACCTTTTATGAATAACGCTGCTATGAACATACTTGTACAAATCTTTTTGTGGACATCTTTTTATATCTCTTAGGTAAATACCTAGGAGAATTGCCAGCTAAGCTTTTGAGAGAGATGTACTGTCAAAAGAACTGCCAATGTAGATTAAAAAGGACACAGTTATTCAGATCTTAAAATGATGTTTGAGTCCCTAATTTTCTACATGCAGGAAGCAGTCTGAGGAAACTGTTCTTAGGGTGTCTTTCTTAAGGAGTGAGTGTGCTTTGCCTTTGGTAGGCAAGTGAGTATTTTTGATTAATGGGGAGACCCTGGTGGACCCTTTTATTGTTCCCAAATGTTTGCTCCCTTCCCTAAAAGTGGATTGATTATACATTCCTTCCCATTGCTGTGTGATTTGGAGTGGCTTGCTGAAGCAGAGTATACTTCCCTACCCCATTGTCAGGCTTATCAATGTGACTTGCCTGGGTCAATGGAATGTGAGTGGAAACAGCAGTATACTAGTTTTGACCAGAAGCTGTAAGAGGCACTGTGTGATTCTGCCTGTTTTCCTCTTTTTTCTTGTCATGAGAACATGTCCCAAGTAAGCATTGATCCCAGTCTGGAACTCTGAAGAAGATACAAGAAAGCCGCAGCTAATTTGAGTTCTGGAATTGAGTGGAGAGTTACCGCTGACCTGAAACCAATAAGTAATATGAGTGAGAAATAAACCTTTGTTTTTTAAGCCACTGATATTTTGGGGTCACTTTTTTTGTCACAGCAAAGCTGACTAATAGAATGATCATTTAAAACATTTAGGAAAATATAGTATAAGAAAGATAATTAAACAATCCAGTATAATTACTATAAAACAGTATTCTAGCCTCATAAAATATATTTTCAGGATAGAAAATGTGGGAAATAGAGAAAAGTATAATAAAAATAGAATGTATGCATGATTCCAGATTTAATTACTCCTAAATTTTTGGCAAGTACAGTAAAACCTTGGATTGCGAATAACTTGGTTTGCAAGTGTTCCACAAGACAAGCAAACATTTCTATTAGGTTGGTGCAAAAGTAATAGCAGTTTCCTAATAATACATTTTAACTTGGTAAACGAGCAATGTCTTGCAATATGAGTGGTTTGTTTCTGGAACGAATTACATCTTGCAATATGAGTAGTTTGTTTCCAGAACGAATTATGCTCGCAAACCGAGGTATTACTGCATTACATTTTTTTCAATGTACTTACACTTTTTAAAAAATACTTTTTGTGAAATTGAATGCTACATTTATTTTCTTAACGTCATTAGCTTTTCCCTGTGCTTTAAATATTACTCAACTATGCCCTATATTATTATATATTGATATTTATGTAGTGTTCTTTTTTTGTACATGATCAGTTTTTACAAATGAAGGGATAAGCACACAGAAGTTATCTGATTAGGCTGGTTTATGAACGAACAACATAATCTGGAAGTCAGATCCTTTACTTTTCAAAAAATGATAATTTTTAAGACAATAATTTTCAGAGCCCAGAGCTCTTTATTTTCTTCAAAATAGATACACTTACATCAAACACTGATAGCTTGATTCCATTTTTACTCTTTACAAAAAACTTTCAGAAACAAAATATTTAGTGTTAAGATAAGGCATTTATATACAGTTGCTTTTCAACTTACATGGAGGTTACATCCTGATAAACCCATAGTAAGGTGAAAATATCGTAAGTCGAAAATGCATTTAAACTGCACTGTAGAGTATCACTTGTTTACCCTTGTGCTCATGTGCCTGACTGGGAGCTGTGGGTCTCTGCAGCTGCCCAGCAGCACAAGAAAGTTTCATACCATGTATCGCTAGCTAGGGAAACAGATCAGAATTCAAAATCTGAAGTATGGCTTCTACTGTGTATCACTTTCACACCATTGTAAAGTTGAGAAATTGTAAGTAGAGACATTGTAAGTCAGGTACTGTCTGTATAAGATTTGGTTGATTATATTTTTTATAATAGCCTCTGATAATTAGGATTAATTTGTCAATGTCTAACACTTAATGGAAAAAAAAGCAGGAAAAGATCTACATTTAGAAACTTCGAAGCACTTTTGCCAAATTGCCACCATGGATGTTTTTGTATTCGTTTTTTTTTACAGAGCTCTTACTATGTGCCAGGCCAAATGCTTTACACATGCTATTGGAAATAGTGCTTTAAAACAATTGTATCATACTTACATTAATATTTGATTTATTGGCTAGTGTTTATCAAGCATTTTTTTTTTTTAAGATTTTTATTGGGGCATTGGGGGAGGGGAATCGTGTTTGAGAACTGGGGAAGGGCCAAGTTGTTGTCCTTCAGTCTTAGCTCAGCTCCAAGTCCAGTGGCCATCCAGCCGCCCATCGGCAGCTCGCAGCCGCTCAGCTCAAGGTGCAGTGTTCAATCTTAGTTGCGGATAGGCATAGCCCACCACCCCTGCGGGAGTCAAATGGGCAACCTTGTTGTTAGGAGCACGTGCTCTCACCACCTGAGCCATCCTGCCGCCTGTTGACATCTCAGTGGCAGCTCAGCTCGGGCGCAGCTCACTGGCCCATGTGGGGATCAAACCAGTGACTCTGTTGCTCAGAGCTCACACTCTTAACCAACTGAACCACTAGGCCGGCCCTTTATCAAGCATTTTGAATGTAATTCATATTAATTTAGTGATATATAACTAGTCTTTAATGTTTCTAGTACGCTATGAAATAATGTTTTGAAAATAGCTAAAATTTTAGTTTAGCTAAACTAATAATTTGATTTTTACAACCTTATAGTCATTCAGTAACAGAACATTGGACTTTGGGCCCTTAAGCCTGTGCTTATTATTATACTTAATCTTAATAGCTGTAGCAGGACTAAATCATCCTGTGTATAGAAAATCCAAATCTTTTTATGTTATTTCATTAAGAGGTAGTTATTTATATAGCAGTTGTATATGATGTTTTAAGTACATAATCATCAAAAGTCATTGAATTGTACACTTTAAATGGCTGTAGTTTATAGTAGTATGTAAATTATTCCTCAATAAAGAGGAAAACTTCTTGATAAGAAAAAATATCAGTAGTAATACTGAATGAACCTGTTTTTCTTCTTTAGATATTTCACAGTACATTCCATTGATTCTTCTTTTAAATTAATAGACTTTAATTTCTAAAACTTTTTTATTTATATAAGAATTCAAGAGGTAGTACAGTTCCCATGTTACCATCACCCCCCATACAGAATTTTCCCTATTATTAACATATTAGTATGGTACATTTATTAAAATTAATGAACCAATATTGATACATTATTTTAAATTAAGTCCACATTTTATTCAGATTTCTTTAGTTTTTACCTAATGTTCTTTTTCCTCTTCTAGCATCCCATGCAGGATACAGTACATTTAGTTGTCATGTCTCCTTAGGCTCCTCTTGGCTGTGACAGTTTCTCAGGCTTTCCTTGTTTTTGATTTCTTCAACAGTTTTGAGGAATACTGATTACATATATTGTAGGATGCCCTTCTATTGGAATTTATCTTTTTCTCATGTTCAGACTAGGATTATGAGTTTGGGGGAGGAAGACCACAGCATTAGAATGCCATTTTCATCATATCATATCAAGGGTCTATACTACCTTTTGATTACTTTTTCGTTTTTAATAGAAGTGCATAAATATAAATTATATCATCTACATCTGATTACTTTTAATATGCTTTTTCAGATGTATTATTGCAGCGCTTTGCAAAGGTTTTCATTGGCTGTCTTGCAGCAGTTACTAGTGGTATGATGTATGCTTTCTATTTGTCAGCATACCATGAACGGAAATTCTGGTTTTCCAACAGGCAGGTAAGACGAAAGACTTTTGAGCATATGAAAGTTGTTTAGTATTTAATATTAATTTAAGTAATGTGCTTCCCAGTAAGCCAAAATAGATGTGTGATAAGTATGACAAGTGCTTTCTTATTTACAGCTCTTAGAAACAAAATGATATAGATGTTGTTTTGAGAACGCAGTCACAGTATCAACCTTGAAAATTTTAATAGACCATATTTCAAGGCCATAAAATAGCAACTATAAGGGTGCTATCTTTCATGCAGTTAATTTATCAGGGATTTTGATGATGATGAAATGGTATCGAGTTTAGTCAGCTTTTTAGTGGCTTTGGTAGTCAACATTTCAGAAACTATGTAAATTTCAGCATCGAAATATACTGTTTATATTACATGATTAAAATGTTTTGGGGGTATTGGAAAATAACAGTCATAACAATATTTATTTTCATTTTGCCTCATATTAGTATGTCTAATATTTGGTTTTAAATCATGTATATTCCAGACATTTTAGTCACTGTAATTATATTAATAATTCATGTGGCCTTTGATAAGTTATTTATAACTTACCTTCATAATCAGATATGTAATATGTGTTGACAAAGTACATGGTATTACCACTTGACGCTGAAGGGTTTTTTTGTTTGTTTTTTTAACCCAAACTGTTTTGTTTTCTTATTTTTGAGCAGTCAGTCTGACTAAATTTTTTTTTTTTTTTTAGCTGAGCCATCCTGCCACCTGTTGGCAGCTCAGCAGCAGCTCAGCTCGGGCTGGACTCGAACCGCTGTTGCTCAGAACTCAAACCTTTGAGCGAGCTCTTAACCAACTGAGCCACTCAGCCGGCCCTAGGTCCTTGCTTTTTCATCACTTTGAATATTTCCTGCCAATCCCTAATGACCTGCAAAGTTTTTGTTGAGAAATCAGCTGATAGTCTTATGGGAATTTCCTTGTAGATAGCTAACAGCTTTTCTCACTGCTTTTAAGATTCTTTATCTTTAACCTTTGGCATTTTAATTATGATGTGTCTTGGTATGAGCCTGTTTGGGGTTTTCTTGTTTGGGACTCTGTGCATCTTGGACTTCTATGTCTATTTTCTTTGCCAGGTTAGGGAAGTTTTCCATCATTATTTCTTCAAATAGATTTTCTGGCACCCCTTGATGCAAATGTTTGTACACTTGATGTTGTCCCAGACGCCCCTTAAACTATCCTCTTTTTCTGGATTCTTTTTTCTTCTTGTTCTGGTTGGGTGTTTTGTGTTATTTTATCTTTCAAATCGCTGATTGGATCCTCTGCTTCATCTCATCTATTATTGATTCCTCTAATGTATTCTTCATTTCAGTTATTGTATTCCTTTCTGACTGGTTCTTTTTTATGTTTTTTATCTCCATTTTTGTGTTTTCTTTTTCTTTGTTGAAGTTCTCCCTGAGATCATTGAGTATTCTGATAGCCAGTGTTTTGAAGCCTGCATCTGGTAGACTGCTTGTCTCCATTTTGTTTAGTTCTTTTTTTGGAGCTTTGTTCTGTTCTTTTATTTGGGCCATGTTTCTTTGTTTCCTTATTTTGGCTGCCTCCCTGTGTTTATTTCTAGGTATTATGTAAATCTGCTATGTCTACTGGTCTTGTTAGAATGGCCTTATGTAGTAGGTGTTCTGTGGCAGTCCAGTGGTGCAGTTTCCCTGGTCACCTGAGCTAGGTGCTCCATGTGTGTCCCTTGTGTGGGTTTTATGTGCCCTCCTATTGTAGTTGAATCTTGATTGCTGTTGCATGTCAATTTGAAGGATTGGCCCTCAGGCTGATTGGTTGTGAGGACTGGCTGTGACTATAGTGGATGAATTGTTGTGCAGGGGCTGACCCTATGGAGCAGGATTCAATTTAGTGGGGCTCTGGTGCCTGCCAAGTCAGCCCTTTGGGTGTGTCATTTGTGGAGGTGGTTGAGTGGTGCTTAAGTGTTGTCTGAAGCAGGCCATTGGGTGTGTTCGTTCTAGGACCTCTTGCGGGGAGGGGTTCTGGTGCAGGCCAAGGACAGCCGCTATCTGTGCCCTGCCCAGGACCACTTGATATGAGCTACAAAGTAATTTGCAGGTGGTTGCCACTTGTATTGGGCTTGGAAGTGCCTGGAAGAGGCTAAGCTGTGAACTGAGGCCGGCTGTTGGTAATGCCAGGCTTATGGCTGCTTAGCAAGACATGGGCTTGCCAAAGGCAAATGCTGCTTGTTTGGGGTCTGTGAACCTTCGAGAGGTTTTAAGAAAGTCTGCAGCATGAGCCAAGACATGCTGCTTGTATGGAAAAGCCACTGGAAGTGGCTTGAGTGGGCCAGCAATTTGGGTGTGGTGGGGTCTCAGGGAAATACCAGAGTGTAGCTTACAGTGTTAGCTAGGTTGATGGAGACTCAGATGCATGGGCAGGCTGGGTTGGGGAGGGCTCAACAACAGAACAATGGCTTCTGTCAGCCCTTCTGTCTGGGAGAAAGCTGCCCCTCCAGCCCTAGCCCTGGAGCCAGGAAATTCAATTTCTTCTCTTATGTCCCTGGCTCCTTTTGAGCTGCTGCCCCAGTGTTGGAGCTCAGAGCGAGTGAGACCATCAGCAAGTCTGTGTGCGGGCCCTTTAATAGGAACGCCTGGGACTCAGTAGTCCTCCATCTCACTCTCTGCTGGTTTTCACAACAGAAGTTGTGGGGACTTGATTTCCTGGCACGGAAATTTCAGGCTGGGGAACCTGGTTTGCGGCTGTGACCCCATGCTCCTCAGGGGGACCTCTGCAGCTGAGATATCCCTTCCAATTTTTAACTGCTACACATGCTTGTGGGACCAGCCCATTCCTTATCTTCATGCCTCCTACCAGCCTCAACATGGCTTCCTCTATATGTCCTTAGTTTTAGGACTTCTGTTTAGTGAGACACAATCAGGCAGTTCTCAATGATGGTTGTTCTATAGTTTAGTTGTAATTTTCATGTGGTCGCGGGAGACGGCTAGCACAGTATTTACCTACTCCTCCATCTTGACTGGAAGCCCTCTGCCCATTTTTTAATTGGAGTGTTTGGGGTTTTTTGGTGTTAAGTTGTATGAGTTCTTTACATATTTTGTTTTTTAACTCCTTATCAGATGTATCATTTGTGACTATCTTCTCTCGATTGTCTTTGTTTTGTTGTTGGTTTCCTTTGTGTTGCATAAACTTTTTAGTTTGATCTGGTTTTGTTGTTCGTTTGTTTATCTTGTCCAAGGAGTCATATCCAAAAAGATATTCTAAGAACAATGTCAAAGAGTTTACTGCCTATGTTTTCTTCAAGGAGTTTTATGGTTTCAGGACTTACATTTAAGTCTTTAATTCATTTTGAGTTTATTTTTTTATATGGTATAAGATTTCATTTTTTTGCATGTGTCTATCTAGTTTTCCCAACACCAGTTGTTGAAGAGACGGTTTTTACCCTATTGTCTATTCTTGCCTCTTGTGTCATAGATTAATTGATTGGATAAGTGAGGGTTTATTTCTGGGCTCTCTATTCTATTCCATTGATCTATTTGTTACCGAACTCAAGGGGTTCGCCACTTGTTTCATTCTATTCAAGAGTGAGATGTGGTTGTTATTAGGCGTTTTATTCTTTTTTAAAGATTTTATTGGGGAATTGGGGGAGGAAAACAGTGTTAGGGAATTGGGGAAGGGGTACAGCCAAGTTGTTGTCCTTCAATCTTAGTTGTAGAGGCACAGCAAGCTCAGTCCAAGTCTACAGTCGTGCTGCTCAGCTCAAGGTGCTGTGTTCAGTTAGTTGCGGGTGGGTGTAGCCACCATCCCATGCGGGAGTCGAATCAGCAGCCTCATTTGTTGTTAAGAGCACACACTCTATCCATTGAGCCATCCAGGTGGAGTTCAGCGCAAGGTCCGCCCAGCGGCAGCTCAGATCAAGGTGTCGAGTTCAGGCTTTAGTTGCAGGCGGGCGTAGCCCACCATCTCGAACAGGCAACCTTGTTGTTAGGAGCACGTGCTCTCACCAGCTGAGCCATCCTGCCACCTGTTGGCAGCTCTGTGGCAGCTCAACTCGGGTGCAGCTCACTGGCCCATGTGGGAATCGAACCGGCGACCCTGTTGCTCACAGCTCACACTCTGAGCAAGCTCTTAACCAACTGAGCCACTTGGCTGGCCCTAAGCAGTTTTATTTAATTTCAGCAAGTAAAGGAGACAGAGGCTTCACATCCAAAGCTTTGTCTCCCCAAAGGGAGGCTTAACCATTGCTTATATACGCTGTTTGGTTAATTACATGTTGATTTCTTCTTGGCAGTTGGCCAAACTTATCTGCTTGGGTTCCTGTCAAGCTCATCAGGCGATAGCTGATTCTACTGTGCTACAATACTATGCTATATTTTAACATTTAGCAAAAGTAGCATTTAGTAAGAACTACCCAGACCTTGAAACCCTTGTCCTAGCTAACATATATATCTGTTTTTATGCCAGTACTATATTGTTTGATTATTGTATCTTTACAGTATAGTTTGATATCAGGGGGTGTGATACTTCCCACTTTGTTCCTTCTCACAGTGTTTTTTGGCTATTCATCTTTTGTGGTTCCATATAAATTTTAGGGTTAGTTGTTCTAATTCAGAGACGTATGTCATTGGTATTTTAATAGGGGTTGCCTTGAATATTCATTTAGGTAGTAAGGACATTTTAACAATATTAATCCTTCCAATCCTTGAAAGGTATATTCTTCCATTTATTTGTATCTTCTTCAGTTTCTTTCTTCAGTGTCTTATAGTTTTGAGAGTACAGGTCTTTCACCTCTTTGGTTCAATTTATTTCTAGGGATTTTATGCATTTTGATGCAAGTGTAAATGGGATTGTTCTCTTAACTTCTTTTGATTGTTCGTTATTGGTGTATAGAAATGTAACATATTTTTGTATATTGATTCTGTAGTCGGTATCTTTACTTAATTTATTAGTTCTCATAGTTTTTTGGTGAAGGCTTTAGGGTTTTCTATATGCAATATTAGGTCATCTGGCTGGTTCTTTATTATACTTTCTAACCCTGTATCGAAGTTCTCCCTAAGTTCCTCTATTCTACTCTCAAGTTTGGTGAGCATCTTTATGACCATTTCTTTGAGTTCTTTATCAGGCAATTTACTTATCTCTGTTTACTTAGGGACTTTTTTTCTGACGAGTTTTCTTGTTCCTTTGAGAGATAGTCTTCTGTCTTTTCATTTTATTTGACTTTCTATGTTTGTTTATATGAATTAGATGAAATAGCTATCTCTCAGTCTTAAAAAAGTGGCCTTATGTAGAAGATGCCTCTGTGTATGCTGTGTGTGCCAGGTTATTTTGACAGGCTTGTAGGAGCTGAGCTAGTGCTTATGGCGTCTGTGGTGTCGGGGTGCTGGCCTTTGGAGCTGAAGCAGCTCCAGGTGAGGAGGCCAGGTGCATTTAGTAATGTTCTGTTAATCTTGCTTGCTCCCATTGCGGGCCTGAAATGGGCTTGGCAGTGTGTCCAGGAACTTGTTGCAGGTGACCTTGCAGGTAGGCCAAAGCACCTGGATAGAGGTCCCACCTACCCTATGGAGGTAGAAGTGGACGGAAAGAATGGAGCTCACTGGTATCTCCAATCCTAAGAATTCCTGAAGCTCCAGAGGGCTCCCATGGTTTCCCAGCCTTCTCTATTCGGTCTCTTTCTCTTGTTGCAAAGCTGTTCATTCAGCCCTCAGTTATCTTGGAGTAATTGCTCTCTATAAAAGTATATATTTGAGTTTGCTCATGGGAGGGGGCAAGTTCAACATCCTCCTACATTGCTGCCATCTTGTACCCCTCTAAAAGATAGATTTATGAAAACCTGATTCAGCAGGAAAAGCACAGGTTTCTTAATGTTTTTTTTTTTTAATTGGGGAATTGGGGAAAGGGAACAGCCACATTGTTGTCCTTCAATCTCAGTTGTGGAGGGCGCAGCTAGCTCAGCTCTAAGTCCAGTCACCATCTGGCTGCCTGTCGGCAGCTCGTAGCTGCTCAGCTCAAGGTGCCGTGTTCAATCTTAGTTGCAGGTGGGTGTAGCCCACCATCCCATGTGGGAGTCGAACCGGCAACCTTGTTGTTAGGAGCTCACGCTCTTAACCAACTGAGCCACTAGGCTGTACCCTGTTTTCAACTACCTGTATGCTTGGTCTGTATAGCCTAATTTTCAGAATTTAAAGATTTACTTATATTTCTGAAAGTACATTTGAAAAGCACTGACTATAAGTATTAATATCTACCGCTCTTGAAATGTACTAAGTAATGGCTTGCTGTTCTGGATACATAGGGAAGTGCAATAGCAATAGAAAACACTGCTTCTTAAACTTACTTTTTTATTATGGACTTCTAACATCTCAAGCATTTTTTATAACCCTCCTTACTAGTCTTGCTGTTCTTGGGGCATTTCTGTTGGTTTTCCTTCTAGATTTTCCTTACATATAATAGGTAAATGACCAGTGAGTCACAATCCATTTTAAACCTTATGTGTTTTATTAAAATGATTGCCAGGTTATTAAAAAGTTTCACCTCATTAATATAGCAACTAGTGATTAAAGGAAAATTCAAACATCTTTGAATAAAAGGATAAATAAATAGCATTAGTTTAGATGATGAAGAGAGAGAAGGAAGATAGCAGTTCAAATTTAGGATACTGATATTTAAATATATTTTCTTTTAGGAGCTCGAACGGGAAATCACATTTCAGGGTGACAGTGCCATTTATTACTCTTATTATAAAGATATGTTAAGGGCGCCTTCATTTGAAAGAGGTAAGATAACCACATTTGTATTTTTAATAATATTTTTCTAAAATAAAACATTTGCATTTGAGAGCCCTTGAATGTGGAGATTTGTCTCAGAATATAGGTATCGTTGTTTCTTGTACATAATTTAAAAAAGTGGAAAAATGAGGCACAGAGTATTATATTTTGAGGTCTTTTTTGATAATAATTTAAAATATTTAATGACCTCTGAATAACATGTTTAAAAAGCAGAATAACTAATCTAGAGAAAAATTTATCTGTCTTTAGGTGTTTATGAACTGATACACAATAACAAAACTGTATCTTTGAAGACCATAAATGCAGTGCAGCAAATGTCTCTATATCCAGAACTTATTGCCAGCGTTTTATATCAAGCAACTGGTAGCAACGTATGTGTTTTTCTTTTGGTAATAATATTTATCTCACATACTATGACTCCTCAAAATTATTTAATGTCATCCTATTCTCTCTCTCTCTCTTTCGCTCTCTCTCTCTCTCCCTCCCTCCCTCCCTCCCTCCCTCTCTCCCTCTCTCTTTTTCCCAATTAGGAGATTATTGAGCCAGTATATTTCTATATTGGTATTGTTTTTGGATTGCAAGGAATATATGTTACTGCTTTATTTGTTACAAGTTGGCTTATGAGTGGAACCTGGCTAGCGGGAATGCTTACTGTTGCATGGTTCATTATTAACAGGTAAGAAAGATGTTTTTAATTAAGTTTTACAATCTTTTGTGTCTGTGGTACTCAGTTTTAACCCTCCCCCCAAATATTTCACACCCTAATCCCCACCTGGGAATGTGATGAGATACCATTCCTATGGTTATGTTATGTTATATGGCACGGTTGACCTTAAAGGTAGGACGATTACCTGGTGGGCCTGATCAAATCATATGAACCCTTAAAAATAAAAATGGAGCACTTTCTCCAGCTGGTGCAGAAGGAGAAATCAGAGATATTTGAAGCATGGAAAGGATGTGCTGCACTGTTGCTGGTTTGAAGTGAGGAGGAAATGACTTCTGCCAGGAACCGGTGAGCTTGTCAAAGGTCTACGAGCCCTGATGAAAAATGTTGCCCTGGCCAATGCTTTGATTTTAGCTTAAGGAGCCCCTGAGCAGAGAATCCAGCCATACTCTGCTAAGTTTGTGAGCCAATAAATCTGTGTTTTAAGACACTACATTTGTGGTCGTTTGTCATGCAACAATTGAAAAAATAGTATACCCACCTTATATCCCTCTTTTCAGACATAGTCACATTGGCATATGTGGATATACCTCTTCTTTCATCTTTTATTTAAAATTGATGACACAAGCTTCATGAAAAGAAGGAAGAGGCATCAGATACATCACTACTAAGTTAATTACCACAGATAACGATTCTAGATTAATCTATGACCATGTGCTTTGAATTAATAAACCCGTCCTTTTTGGTGAACAAAGCAGCCTCAGTTTTTTAATAATGAGTAAAAAGAATAGAGGTTAGGATTTCTTTGAAATGGCTGGCTGGCTGGTTTGAGAGATATTATAAAAATTTTCTTGACATTGGTCTTTGTCAAGTTTATTCTTTGAGGGCTGGCTGAGTGGCGCGTTGGTTAAGACTTGGCTTGGGACGCCAGTTCTGAGCAGCAGGGCCTGGGTTTGGACCCCACATGAGGGCCAGTGACACTGCTCTCTACAGCTAAGATGGTGAACAACAGCTCAACCTGGAGCTGGGCTGCCATGAGTCGCTGGTGACGGCGTAGGCTTCAGCCCCTGCTTCAGTGGGCTGCCGTAAGCTACTGTGTGTGGCCGGCAGCCAGTGTGAGCTGCCAAGAGCTGCTGTGAGCGGCCGTCCAGTGGCCAGTGACCGATCTGTCTCACCTGGGAAGAGCGCAATGATAATACCAACATGGGCCAGTGAAGCAACGTCCTTGACAACTAGACTGAAGAACAAAAGGACAGCAACTTGTCTGTTCCCCTTCCCCGATTCCCCAACACTGTTCTCCCCGTATTCTCCAATAAAATCTTTGGGGGGGAAAAAAAAATACAGGGATGAACCAAACTTTCTTACTACAAAAGCAATATATGTATGTTGTGGAAAATTAAAACCAGCAAAAGTAAAATAATAACTACATATTCCCACCACCTAGAGATCACTGAGCATCTTTTATACCTTGGTATATGCATGTATGTATTTCCATATGTATTTTTTTTTTAAGATTTTAATGAGGAATTGTGAGAGGGGAACAGCATTGGGGAATCGGGGAAGGGGAACAGATAAGTTGCTGTCCTTTTGTTCTTCAGTCTAGTTGTGGAGGATGTCGCTTCACTGGCCCATGTTGGTATTATCATTGCGCTTTTCCTGGGTGAGGCAGATCGGTCACTTGCCACTGGTTGGCTGCTCACGGTGGCTAATGAAAGCTCACAACTGCTGCTGGCGAGCCCCACTGCAGCCTATGCCATCGCCGGGGACTCATGGCAGCCCAGCTTCAGGTCGAGCTGTTGTTCACCATCTTAGCTGTAGAGGCCAGTGTCACTGGCCCTCATGTGGGATCCGAACCGGGGCCCTGCTGCTCAGACCTGGTGTCCGAAGCTAACTCTTAACCAACACGCCATTCGGCCAGCCCTGCACATGTATTTTTTATTTTTGCCAGAATGAGATATATTTATTGCACATACTGTTTTATGTGCTTTCTTTGTTTATCAGTCTCTACCTTTTCATTTCAATAACTTTTTATCTTATTTAATGCCCAGTCTATATTACAGTTTCCTCCACTGACCCCAAAATACCCCATAGCTGGCTTACCCAAACTGGTATTTAATCTAGGACCACACATTGCATCTGATGTTTCTTAATTCTCTTTAAATCTGACAGTTTTTTTTTTTTTATGACAACAGCTTGTTGAGGGACTGAGTCAGTTGTGCTACAGAATGTCACACTGTATGGATGTGTCTTCTCTTCCTTGTGGTATCTATCATCTAGCTTTTTCCTTTATTTCTTGTGTTTTCATAAGCTGGAAGTTATATTTAAGGGCTTGATGGGTTCAAGATAAACATTTTTAATTAGAATATATCATGAACGATAAGTTTTTCATGTTCCATGACATTAGAAGTTACATGATATTTAGTTGGCCTCCCCTGAATGAAGCCGAGATTGACTGCCGGTTTCTACATATCTAGAAAATAATCTGTGTGGTGTTTTGGGGCACCAAATAAATGTTCTTTTCACTATAAATATTTACCTAAGGGCTGTAACTCCAGTTAGTAATCTTTGCAGAAATGACTAATTTCATTAGGGTTTATAAAATTATACTTTTCTATTTTCATTAGCTACATACTTCATTTATTTTTTTCAGCGGTGTATATTTTATTTTTTAGTTTTTGTCAGTTACACATTTGTCAGTAGACATTCAGTATTATTTTAGTTTCAGATGTACAGCATAGTGGTTAGACATTTCTATAATTTATGCAGTGATCCCCCCAATTGTTGTAGTGCACCCCTGCCACTATAAACAGTTGTTAAAACACTATTGACTACGTTCTCTATGCTGTACTTTACATCCCTGTGACTATGTTGTAACTACCAATTTGTATTTTTTTTCTTTTTAAAGATTTTTTATTAAAATATAACTGACATACAATATTACATTAGTTTCAGGTGTACATCATAGTTATTCAACAGTACCCACCTAACTCTAGCAACCATCTGACACCACACCACACTATATTTCCTATGTTGTATATTACATCCCCAAGACTTATTTGTTTCACACTTGGAACTTTGAACCTCTCTCTTATTCTTCTTTATCTTTTTTCCCCTTTTTTAATTTTTCAATTACAGTTGACATTCAACATTATTTTCTATTAATTTCAGGTGTATTGCATAGTTCTTAGACATTTATATAATTTATGAAGTGATCCCCTGCCTAGAACCCACCTGGCGTTATACAGTTATTACCATATTATTGATTATATTCCCTATACTTGACATCCTTATGACTGTTTTGTAACTACCAATTTGTACTCCTTAATCCCTTCACCTTTTTCACCCTGCCCCCAAGCCCTCTCCAATCTACCACCCCGATAGATCTAGTACCCATTTACACCCTATATAGTTAGTACAATATTATTTATTGTATTCCTTATGCTATACCCTACATCCCCAATACTGCTGTGCAACAATCAATTTGTTCTTCTTAATCCCTTCCAGTTTTTCACCCACTTCCTCTACGCCCCTCCCATCTGGCAACCATCAAAATGTTTTCTGTATCTATGAGTTTGTTTCTATTTTGTTTGTTTATTTTGATTTTTAGATTCCAATTGTAAGTGAAATAATATGATATTTGTTTTATACCTGACTCACTACACTCAGCTCAGTATCCTTCAGATCCATCATGTCACAGATGGCAAGATTCCATTGTTTTTTTATGGCCATGTAATATTCCATTGTATATAGGTACCACCTCTTCTTTATCCATTAAGGGACACCCAGGTTACCTTCATATCTTAGCTATTGTAAATAATGCTGCAGTGAACATATGGATGAGCATGTCCTCTCAAAGTAGCATTTTGGATTTCTTCGGATAAATACCCAGAAGTGAGGTCCTTCTTTTTCTCTCGTTATATAGTCTTGGTTTTTGTTTTCTTGTTTGTTTTTTTGTTTTTTTAAGATTTTTATTGGGGAATTAGGGGATGGGAACAGCACTGGGGAATTGGGGGAAGGGGAACAGACAAGTTGCTGTCCTTTCGTTCTTCAGTCTAGTTGTGGAGGACGTTGCTTCACTGGCCCAAGTTGGCACCATCGTTGCGCTCTTCCCAGGTGAGGCAGGTCAGTCACCGGCTTCT